GACGCTGCTTGCTGTTGCGGTGCCGGAGCCCCCGCCGCCGTGGGCAGCGCTGGAGGCGAGAGGCCGGGTGGTTCAGTGCAGCCTGACCTCGCAGAGCCGAGCTGGAGGCTGACAGCGGGAATTCGGCACCTGCGGCGCCCTGGGATGGCGGCTTCACCCCCTCGGCGCCGTCTGCAGCGGTTTTGCTGGTTTTCTGCTGCGAGTTGTTCATCCGCATGGCCGATGCCCTCTGCCTGCCCGCACCTACCATCTGCCTGTTGCCGTGTTTAACTGTAAATCTGCTTCTCACTTCATAATGAGATATTCTCTTCACGTCTTTCTGTATGCTGCTTGACCCGTGGAATCTGCTTCCTGCAAACTGCTAAAATTACTATTTTGAACTTTCAGTATCAAAAGACTTGCTGGGAAATACCTTTTCAAATATAACTCTGGGCTTTGTTGAATAAAAGCACAAATATTTTTATTCCATGATGGATATGAAAAAATGCATCCTTCCTTTTGACTGTTTAGAAGGATTTGCCTCCATCTTTACCATCCTCCAATATTTTATATGGCTCCACCTCCCAGTATCATCATGGTCATCTGCAACCCTTTTGCCAGTTGTTTTCTGTGTACAGTCCTGAATCTGTTCTGTTGCTCTACATCCTTTTTTTTTCTCCCATTATTTCTGATTTGCTCCCTGTTAGTATCTATTTGCAGTTTTCATGGTATTTTTAAAGTTACGTCTGGTATATCAGTGGTATCCTTTGACTGCCCTCCTGCAATTCACTTGTCTGGAAGGAAATCTGGTATAATCACAGATCAGATGTAGAATGCAGCACATTGCATACGCTCTGGAATGGCTGCCTTTTTAGTTCTTAATTAAATACTATGCATAATTAAATATGTATTAACATATCAAAAAACTTTACCCATGGTGTAAGGTGCTACATCCCATCTAGCCCCTTTACCGAGCATTGCTAGCAGCAATTGTGATGGATAGAATAGAACAGAACAGACTATTTCAGTTGGGAGGGACCTACAACAATCATCTAGTCCAACTGCCTGACCGCTTCAGGGCTGACCAAGTTAAACTGTGTTATCAAAGGCATTGTCCAAATGCCTCCTAAACACCGAGACGCTTGGGGTATCGACCACCTCTGCAGGAAGCCTGTTCCAGTGCTTGACCACCCTCTTGGTAAAGAAATGCCTCCCAGTGTCCAGTCTGATAAGCTGCAAAGCACCACCAAGTGGTCTGTTTGTGATCTGGTTGATGACAGTGCTGTGAAGCATGTGTTTGTCCTGCAAAGAGACCCATATAGTACTAAAGAAGCTGTAAAATAATACAACTGAGATCCTGTTGCCAGTTCCTATTATAATAAGAGGACAAGAATGATGGGTCTGGTTGTGGTCTATGCTTTGAAAAATCAGGAACCAGGATCTCCCACTTCATGTGTTCGATGACTACTAGTTTTACCAGAAAAGCTCCCAGATAGCCCAGTTTAGGCTTAGCCGTTAGCTCTTCCCTCTGCTCCCTGCTGAATACCGACAAATTTATTCTCAGAGGACACTTTTTTCCTCTGACATCTCAGGGCAACAGGCTTAGATTTGGTGATCATGCTACATATATTTAATTCTACTTCATACATAGAACTCATTAAATGCCATAGATTATAAATATGGATGTTTTTTAAATTGAAAAAGTTGAGGAATTTTGTTAGAGCAGTGGTTTGATTTGGAGACGAAACCTCCCTTCTCATATATAACCCATTAAAGGAAATCACTATGAGTTCCATCTCAAATAATTTTGAACAAGTAAAAGCCAATCTGATTTACGGAGTGAGCATGACTGGAAAGTTCCTACTTTGCCATATCCAAAGATAATTGAAGTTTGCATTTATATCAAATACAACTTGGGTTCAGGTTCTCCATGGATGGTTTATGGTCATTATCAGTTTCCTTGCAGCGGTAGAAAAAAATCAGCTATAATTATATGTAACCTGTTTTTGAATTGAAAACTGTCTCAATAACACAAAATGGCCCTACAGATATTGGTGCAGTTTGATTTAGCCTTTAAAAAGTTGAGCAATCAAGACATCTGGTAAGAGAAACTCATTTTCTTAACTATCTATGTGAAACTTGTTTGTTGCAAGACCTTTGCAATAGGCTTCCTTCAATTTCTGATGTTTTTTCCTCTTTACTTTGTTACTGCCAGCCTGTCAGAGTTCAAGTAGCTTCTGGAGGATGCTCTTAGTCATACGGTTTGTTTGTAGGTAGTCCTGCAAGGAGAAGGGAGTTGGAGTCAATCATCCTTATGGGTCACTTCCAACTCCAGATACTCCATGATTCTATTTAACTCTTGTTCCTTGTTGTTCCTGGGATGTCTTGGATTCTTCTGGTAGCCGTGTCCTCCATAGGATGCCAGACACATCTATTATTGGACAAGTTTAGAATCATGGAATCATAGAATCATAGAACCAGTTAGATTGGAAAAGACCCTTAAGATCATCAAGGCCAACCATTAACCTGATGCTACCAAGTCCACCACTAAACTGTGTCCATAAGCACCACATGTGCACGTCTTTTAAATACCTCCAGGGATGGTGACTGAACCACTGCCCTGGGCAGCCTGTTCCAGTGCTTGACAACCCTTTTGGTGAAGAAATTTTTCCTAA